GATATGTAACCTATGTTCCTTTTCCAAAAGGTAAGAGCTAATCATTATTTAAATCATGTGTAATCTTGCAAAAAAAAACAAAAATATAAGTATATGAGCATGTAATGTAAACGTACTATAATTTGTATATCTTTGATCACTTTGTTTTTATTTGTTCTTATATTCAGTTTTCTCAAACACTTGTAACACTAGAATGAGGCTAGTCTCGTTCACTTTTAATATCATAAGTTATCATTATTGTTATTTTTATTACTGCCATTATTATTACCCTCATCATCATTGTCATCCTCATCGTCATCATGATCATTATCATTAATTATTGTTAATTATTATTTTTTATGATTATTATTTTTATAAATTAATTATTATTAATAATATTATTGCTATTATTATTATTAATTATTATTATTGTTATTGCAATAATAATGATTATAAATATGATGATTATTTTGATTATGCATGTTATTATTTTAAATTTCATTATTTTTATATATATCTTTTGAGGATTCCTTGAAAGATATTAAATATCTGGGGATGTGTTCTTTCTGCGATATTCCTGTGACACAAGTAAGAGTATGTAACATTAAATATGATCATTATTATGTACAGAAGATAAAAATGTGTATTTCTCCACATTTTATTGATCTCTTTGTGAAGATAGCTTGAAACCTATGTTTCAAGTTTTGTTATACAGAACCAAAAAAAAAAGCTGATGATTTAAAATCAGCTTTACTGATAAATTCTAAATTGTAGATAAATTCAGATGTGTCTGGATTTTGAATAAACAAGTAATTTTGATATAGTTGAAGAAAAGCTGAAAGTATTATGTAGAAAAAGGCATTTATGCAGCCACATATTACTATTTGCCTTTGGCTGAATTTTTTCTTTCTTTTTATGGTATTTAATTGCTTACAGAAACTTCACTCCGTTATATTTTATACATAAACTGTATAGTTATGGTTTTAATCATGTTATTTCATCTATTAGATATATTGTATAATACTCAAATCTATGATATGTGATGCAGAATCTAGAAGGAAATACTGGACTAAATGCTATAAATTTTGTCTTGCTACCATGAGGCAGCTATAGCATGGCACCGTGTGTGTTCTCTATACCTAAACTGTAGTTGTACACTGTAGGTTACTAATTTCCGAGGACTGTGTGCATCATTATTGTATAAAAGTGGGGAATGAGGGAAAATAGTTTTTCGAATTTCTCAAAGATTAGTGATAAAACTGTATGACTGTGGTTCTTCCAGTTCTCTGTCTATAGATGTATATTCATAAACTTGGTAACTGACTCCAGTAATGCCATGCTATAAATTATCTTTATTTATTGAGTTCATATTTATATAACCTTAATATGTTGAACTGGAAAAAGTACTTTTTTTGTTGAAATAGAGTACTGATACACATACAACATTGTAAAAGTTTTGTTCATGTCTTAATTGATGCATAACGTAGCAAAGTTTCTATTTTTGTATATTTACGTCATAGTTCTATGAACAAAATGCTCATGTACATATTTGCCCATAATAAATGATGTAAAATAAATAAATAAAAATCTTATTTTACCTTTACTGCAGAATGCAATTCTCCATAGTTTGTGAATGAAGTTTAGTTTATGAATGTTCAATTCCAATTACTACCAAGTAAAAGCAGTAGGATGATGATGGATTTTTCTCTAAAATATTATTATATCTTCTGTAGCTTTTTTCCAGATTAATTGGTTGTATTAAGTTATTGCAAATTATTAAATTTATTAAACTGATTGGTTATATTACATTTTTGCTAATTAATTATTTATTGTAATTATACATTTTATTTAAAGAGATGCAATAAATAGGGTCAGGAAATTTATATTTTAACAAAAGCACAGTCTTAATGAGGTTGAATTTGATTTTTTTTTTCCTGCTGTTTGTGTTGGTTAATGGTAAATGGTTACAAAGCAAAATAGATGTGCTAGACATAGAAGGCCATATAGCACAACAAAGGTGCAATAGTGAAAAGGGTAAAGAGAGATTAAATGATTACATATCAGAAGTCATACAGCCCTTCAGGAAGAAAGGGATTAATGTGGGTGATTAGATTGAAATTGTTAAGGGAAGTAATGTGGAATATTGCACAGGTCCCTCCCAATCCCATGCCCGTTCCCTCCTAATAACTTGCTTGTTGTAGTTGTGTGTGTTGGGGACAGAGATTGAGGCCTAATGTATGGGAATGCCCGTACCTTGGGCTTCAGTCCTCACCACAACTATTTTGCTTGGTCTTTTCTTCTTCCCCTTTCCTCTTCCATATTTTCTCTATTTCCTTCTGTCCCATTCCAAAGTTGTGAGAGCCATGCTGAATGGATGAAAGGCTTGCTTTGAATAAGTCACGAACAGCTTCCAGAAGCCATGGGCTGGGTATTCCCTTGGTTAATTGCCTAGCCCTTACCCCTTATGGGGACCTTGAGGGGTAGATTTTCTTTTCCCCATTATATTAAATTTCACCATGGCCAATAATGATTCTTTATCCTTAAGGGGCATTAAGGCTTGCACCTTCATCAACTATCTATCAGAATTTGATTTTGATGGTTTTCTGACCCCTGCCCCTCCTTTGACTATGGCTCTGACCACTGATACTAATATCCCTTCCTCGACGTTTACTGACAACTATATTCTGAACCACCCACCCAAGTCATCACTCAACCTTCAGAATTTTATTCTCCCAATATGCTCCACTCCATCTCCATCTTCAATGTATAACCCCTCTTCCCTTGTTACTACTCTTCATCCTTATTGTCCCCCCCCCACAGAACTACTCCACTCCACACCACCCTATCTTTCTCCCGCCCTAGTCCTTCTAATGCCTCCACCTCTGCAAACTTTTTGAGTACTCTCTCTGGCCCAGCCGAGTGGGATCAATTCTTTGTTTCCCCCCATAGCCCCTAACCCCGAAAATACCCTTCTCTTTCAACAGCGTCTCTAGAAACAAGTAGGCAAAGTTCATGCCTTGTTACAGTTTCATCTGAATCCTAAGCTTATGCACTATCTACTCTAACTGACCTCACTGGCATAACCATTCCTGCCGAACCTCACCTCTCTCTTAATACTTGTACTGGAACTAGGAGGAAGGGGTGCAGGGAAAATATGAGTAGGGAAAGGATGGACATCTAAGGGGGATGGGTAGTGTTGGGAGGGAGTAGGAGGAAGGGGTGCAGGGGAAATATGAGTAGGAGGAGGATGGATATTGGCAGTAGTTGGAGCTGAGGGGGATGAGCTGTGTTGGGAGGGAGTAGGGAGAATATGAGTAGGAGGAGGATGGATATCGGCAGTCACTTTGAGTGTGGAGGGAGTGGGAGTTGTGGAATTTGAGGATGGGTAAGGGTTATCAGCGTCATTTTGGGACTCAAGCAGAGAGTTTTGAATATCTTTAAGAGTTTCTGCAATAAAGTTGGTTGGAGAGTTTTGTGAGACAAAAGTTTTCTCAAGATGGGGGGGGGGGAGAGAGACTGGTGTCTGAGGAGTAAAGGCAAAGGTAGGTGGGGGTGAGTGTGTGGTAGGAGAAGAAGGGGTGGAATGTTTAGTCTGTCTGCTGCGGGTAGTGCAGGGAGGGAGAGGGGATGGTGTTGGGGCTGTAGTTGAGATTGGAGTGTCTGGATTTTGAGTGGCAAAAAAATTTGACTGGGGAAGTTTGGAGGTAGAAGTGGAAGTGGGGAAGTAAGTAGGTATAGGGGAGGGTGTAGGAACATCTTGGGAAGGAGGGAGAGGGGCTGATCAAGCAACATTACTGGAGTAGGGAGTATGAGAGAAACCTTGTCAACGTGCTTCCTGTCTGGCTCCACACAGAGTGAGACCAAGTTTGTATCAGAGTTGCTACCACAGACTCAAACTTGTAGGTGGGGCAGCCTCTATAAAAACATTTATGGGGGCTCCCACAGTTAACACATGTACGTGATTGTGCAGAGCAGTTTGATTGGTTATGACCAGGTTGGGCACATAAGGGGCATCGGGCTGTGGAACGGCAGTGTTTGGCAGGATGCCCTAAACGCCAAAAGTTTTGACAATGATGGGGAAGAGGTTGGTATGGTCGGACTGGGAGGGATTCTCCGCCAATGTAGATATTAAAGGGAAGGTCATGTCAATGGAAAGTAATTTTGTCAGTCTTGGTGGGGTTCTTATGATGACCTCTAGGAGGAATGGAGAAGCACTGTACTGATATTACATCATGGTCCTTGAGGCAGGCGAGTAAATCTTCTCCACAATTTGACCAATCTTTGTTATCAATAGGGCAGTTTGCTGGGGAGATAGACACAGTTCTGGTACAAGTATTAAGGATTTGATGAGGTTCTGAAGGAATGGGGTTGCCAGAGGGATCAATTATTGAGTAAGGAACTGTAAGGGGGATCCCAAAAAATTGGTCCAATTTGACTGGGCTAAACAGAGTATTTAAGATATTTGTTGAGTTGGTGTGGTAGAAGGATAGGGACGTGTGGAAGAGGAAGTATTGTTAAGGAGGGTAGTATTATGGAGAGGTGGCGAATAAGGCTGTAAAGTAGTAATAAGGGAGGAAGGGGTGATTGATGAAGGAGGTTGTGGGGGTAGAGGTGATGAAGTTGAGGAAGTTGAGAGAGCAGGAATGTCTCCTAGAGATTGAGTCTTGACTTGGGTGGATAATGTGCCAGTAGGCATTGAGGGGTGGGTAGTAGTTGCAGTGTTCAGAGTTGTGGTTAGAGGAGAGCCCTACCAAGATCAGCTGTTTACTCTTTTTTTAGAATGATTAGCTGACAAAAATGAATATACATATATCCTAAAAACCTTTTTTGGTGGGTGAGAACTTGTGGAGCCATCTGCGTGCAAACAAATCTCACAAAAGAAAACAACAGGAGACAGTGTGGTTACCCAGCACCATTGGGGTAAATCCATCTTCCTTTTCAGATATCAAATAAGTTTAATAACATCAATTTTCATTGAACATGAATCTCTGTAAACGGGGATATATAAAAAAAAAAAACGCTACCAAGACTGTGACAATGTATTTTATGAGTAATATTTTTCCCATGTATAGCTGACTATGTCAACTATCAAATAACCTGGTCACCACAGAGCTATGATTGAGCTTATCTGAAGTTACAAGAATATATATTTACCTTACAAACTTTGTATTACAAAAATCAATTATTCCCTCTTCTTTAAAAAATTATAACAGCACAGAATAACAACCAGAGCCAATCTACTTACAAACACAGAAAGGCACAGCAATTTTGGGTCAATTTCTTGTTCCCAAATTTATATAAAGGAGTTGGAAAAGTACAAGTTCTAGTAGGACTACATGCTATAGTGCAAGTGGAACCAACATGATTTATGTAAAAAGCTAAACTGTACACAATGGAAAAGCAGAGAGCTGTTACAAACACATTTTTCTTTTTAATTCTATGAAATCCAAGGGAAGACACATATATATAACTGGTCAAACAGTTCTCATTATCATTGTAATTTATAATGAATACATCTCATTACTTCTTACTGGAAAGAAAAAACTACTATAACAGCAAACCAACCTTTCCATAATGGCATATCTGTCCTAAAATAATTGGCAACATTGTGATAACATATATAAATATGAATATACATGAACATATACGTGTGTGTGTGTGTGTGCGCGCGTGTGTGTGTGCGCGTGTGTGTGTGTGGGTGTGCGTGTGCGAGTGTGCGTATATATTTCATATTCATTTATCTATGTACATACATAAACTTACTGGTACGCTTTTAACCCAATGACTATGGGAGCCCCAAATGCCATACTGAATGTCAGGATGTATGTGGAGTCAGCTGCTTGTAGGAAAGAAACAGACATATAGGAAACTTAGTACTCCCTCTTTCTGTGCTAGAGGCTATGAAATAAACGGTCATTTAGGTATTGAGGCCAAGAATAGTCTTTAATCCTACTTTTAAGGAACTACTTCTCCTCAAAGTATGTAGCCAGGGCCTAATAGGCACATTACTGTTTTGTGTGATCAATTTCGAGCAAGCTCAACCACATGTGAAGACATTCTGGCAAAAGGGGTGGTCGACCATGAGAGGATGATGTCATGGTGGACCTGCATGATTGGGTACTGTCACCATTTCTTTCAAGGTGCCCCAAAGCTTCATGTATGCCTTAATATGAGGCCTTCCAAATCATGGCATGAGGTAAAAAATTTCTTTGGCCTTGTATGGTAACTTTCCCCTTGCTTGTTCAAATCACCAAATTACACTTATCTTTGTACAAAATTACCAGTCTAGAATATATTCATAGTGACCTATTCTAAGATAGTGGACCAAATTATCCAAGATGGTAACAATACACCTTTTTTTCTTTCTTTCAAAATATGGCTTTGCATTGCATGCATATGACTGGCCATTATCTTATTATCACTCACATGCTGTCTGATCAAAGCAAAATTTTCTTTATGGCAGTTATATGATTCAGTTGATAAAATTGTTGTCTTCAGCTACAAGAATGAAGATCTGGACTTTAAATCATTTATGTCAGAGATGGCATGGACATACATGCCATGCCTACTGTGAGTTTACTTTATTAACCCCTAGCCGACGGGTGGCATGTATGTACATGCCATGGCTGTTGTGGACTGAAACACGGATGGCATCGCATCATGCCCATTCCCGCGCCACTGGCTTATCAGATGGAGTTTGTTTTTCTCCGATAGGAGCGGCTTCATTTATATGGTAAAAATTTTAGGCAATGGCATCTATAATGAAGGTAAACCTTCAAAATTATAATATTTTTATAAATCATAGCAAAATAAAAGCTTTTAAGTGCTAAATGTTGCTTGCAAACTACCAATCAAGCCGGACGCAAACAGGGGAAACTGCTGATGCGCGCCAATAATCCCGTTATTACGTTCACTTACCAAACATTTTTACCCGTCGGCACTGGGTTAATTGTAGTCACACAAAATGGCTCCACAAGTGTTTAGCCATTAAGGAGTCAATCACTTGTTCACTATGTGGTTTTATGTATCTCCGTTTGCCTTTTTCCTTAATTTAGAGAAACCTTACTTAAAATTCTACATTGACATTAATCCTATGATGATGGAGCCTGAATTTATTGTAAGGTAATATTAAACAACAATCTAGACTTTGTGGCTGGGCCCAAGCTGTGCACAGCCGTCAATCTTGCAAGTCATTACAGCTACACCCATACCTGTCTCTGAAGGATTAATATTCTTAATAATATCCTTATAATAATGATGTTAACAGTAATGATGTAATTAGCATTAAGGGAAAAAAAAAGAATCCAAAAATTCAAATTAAGGGGAAATCAGATGAGGTCACTCTGACTACTAATTGACTCCTTGTTGGCTGAGCACTTATAGAACCATCTATGTGTAAACAAATGTTCAAATAACAAAACTACAATTAACATTACATATTACTGGCAACAATAAATTGAATAGTCTTCCTTGAAAAAATAAATATTAGAACATCATATCCAAGCCTCAATAATACATAATACATAATATACCTATCTACCAACTTCCATCACCTGTTAACAATGAAGATAACATACATTAACAATAAACAACATTAACAAACTGCAAACTGAGAAATCATAAAATACTCTGAAAATACTCTTAAAAACATAAATTGACAGATTTCTCAATTCACTGTGGCTGTAGAGTTGCTTTGTCACCATCAGTATCCTTTTTCACTTTCACTTAAAGCTTATTCTAAGTACTTAGCAATATCCTGCATGAAAAAAAAAAAAATGTTTCAGTAACTGAGTAACAGCAGTTTTGGCTATGGAAACAGTAATACTAATAGCAATAGCATCCTGCAAGAATGTTAGTCTATGAAGTAGTAGGCAATATTACCAGCTGTAGCAGCAGCACTGGTAGTAGTTACAGACACTTAATGTGACATCAGATGGTAAATTCTGAGGATAGAGAACTTGGGGCCTAAATCACATTCCTGTTTCAAATGCTAGAACATTTTAAAAAACTTTCAATCAGCAGTTTGGGATTATTTCAAAACAGCACAGAATAACAAGCAGGGTCAATCTGGCTGGTTCAATTTGCTCCTTAAGTGTCTGTTACTGGGAGTTAGTAGTAATGACAGCATCAACAGTAATATTTGAAACATTAGTAATATTACTATTTGAATTAGCACAAGTAGTAGTGGCTGAAAAAGCACAGCAAAGTGAAGAAAGAGTAGGAGGTAGGAGGAATTGATAAGGGAAATAAATGTGTATGAGAGAAGAAAAGGGATATGAACAACCTGTGGATAAATACCTAAAAACTGGGCAAATTTCAATTGCTGATGTGCCTAGCCATTTTGGAAATTTTCCTTTTCTCTATATTTCTCTATATTTTCAAACCAGTCTGGTAGTTTCAATATATCTGACACCCACACAAAAAGAATAAGGAGGATGAAAGGATGAATTGATAAGAAAATAAACTATGATTTTGAGAACAATGGGATGTAAGTAAGAAATAATGAAGTAGAAGACAAAGAGTTTTGGAAGGATGGCAAATTGCAGCATTTTTTTTTTTTTCAAGTGGCCTTCCTGATGCAGAGGTATCACCTTTAATCAGACATGCATTTCTCATCGAAAATATCTATCCTCATAGTAACTATTCCATTGAATTCTAGCATTGAGAACAAGAAAGGCCAATGTCATGATTGAAATTCTGCTAATAATAATTCAAGAAATAGACTTTTTTCTATGCCTAATCAGTCTAATCCTTTTAAAGATATTTTTTTACATACTGAAAATAACTATTTTTCATAATGAAAAAGAAAAAAGAAAGAAAAAATATATCTCTATATACAATATGTTTTCAAAAACATTGTAAAAATGTATTTTTCTTGATTAATTAATAAATTACAATATTTACTGCTGTTGATATTTAAACCATCCCTCCTAAATTGATTTCTTCTGAAGTTTTCTAACATTTTATGGCTTAAAAATCATAAACCTTTTGATAATTCTGCTATACATTCATGTAAAATCTATTACTTGTAGACTGAAAATGGCACTTAAGGGAAAATATAGAATAGTAAAAACACAACCTGAAGCTTTGGGTCGCTTATTGTGGCAATAAGTCTTATGTTAGAATACAAGATTTTCAATAAATTTGGATTTCGAAGTATTGCTCTTGTGGCGTCTCTTATGCCCTGAAGACATTAGCCTTTATAACACTTATAGAAGCAAATACTTCCAGTTCTGTGGTAGGCATATCTCAAAACAGGCCTTTTTTGACATTGGCCCTTCTAACTTTTTGCCGTAAAATTAAAGTTTATATATTCTTGTATATCAATCTTTTATGTATATTCACACTGATTCAGAATTTTCTCTGATTGTAATTATCTGTTTCCTTAAATATACACATTATTTTCATAATCCCTGTATAACATTATTTGTAAGTTTCATGGCTCTCAGTAAAAGCAAGGATACAGAATGTTTTCGCCATGCAAGAAAAGGTATTTTTGGGGGGCATAGGCACATTCCAAGCATTATCATAAACATACCTCACTATGATATTCTGCATGACTCTTTTCACTATTACAGTATCCATTATCATCTGTATTTTTCCTTTAATCTTTTAGATAAAAGTGTGAAAGTCTAACAGAAATTTCTTTGTGAAATTTCAGTTAATAAAGTCTTCAACGTCCCCTGATGACTTCATGACAATTCTGAAAATGTGCTAAGTTACACTTAGATCACTGAATGGGAGCTGGTGATGGAAATTAACCCTAAATGACTGAATCTACATATATATCTCAAACGAAAATGCTTTGTAATTTCTAGAATAAACAATATACTTCCCCTTTTCTATAAAGTGGCATTATCTGCTTTGATCCCTCTATACTTTCTTCTAACTTACACATCAAGCCTAATTTCATTACTTTTGGCAAAACCCACAGTTTTTGTTGTATTTCCTTATCAATTCCATGGAGACACTTGGCACTAGCTATGCAGGATGTATTAGTTCAGTTACTTTATAGGAAGATACAAATATGACTGGTTATTATATTCTAGTTAGGCACAATTCCATGGCAAATTTGAATATTTGGTTACAGTATTGTGTGCAATGTTTAGTTTGGCTTACTTCATGACTAAAATATTTCATTCTTCTGTTTTTCTATTTTCAATAATAGATGGTTTCTGCCTAAAAGTAGTTACAGTGTTCTTCACCTATTGATGCTGGGAATGCAATGTTCTTGGCAGATTGTTTTATTACTTTTAGTTACACACAGATGGTTGCAAAAGCACTTAATTACCACAGTCAATTACTAGGCTCACCTTACCTCACATGCTTCCCCATTCCCTGAATTTTCAGGAAATAACATTATATTTATTTCTATTATTACTGTTGAGAACATTATAAAAATAAAAAAATATATAACAATAATGTTACAAACAACAATATCAGCAACAAATTCAGTAAAAGAAGTAAGCTGCTGAGACCAGATAAGCCTAGTAACTGACTCCTTGCCAACTAAATGCTTGTGAGACATCAGGTAAAACAAAGCTATTTTGAACAGTGCTTGTACCTAGCACTAATTGGTTAAATTCACATAAATAATATCTGTACAAAAACACAAAATTACATTTGCATGCATGTGTTGCAGATAATATATATAAGTAGACATGCACATACAAACTCAGTAATCAACATATTATATACATGTCTCTCCCTTCTTATCCATGTTAAAGAATAATATATCCATTAAACACACCATACAAAAGTACAAAACTAATATCATTGTAGTGTGCTACTCTAACATCAAATGGTGTGATAAATAGTTAAGTGTTCCCGACTTATGTTCTAATTATTATTCTAGCCTTGTAGAAACCCTGGAAAAGAAAGTGAATACTAAGATAAAGCAGGAAGTCAACAAAAAAGTACATAAAAAAGAATGAAGATAGAGAGGCTCAAAAATACTTTACAATGAGATTCAATGATAATATCAACAGTTACCAACACCAGGTTTTGATCACTTTCAAACTACCTCTGAAAATCTTCCAAACATAATCAAAGGCAGTCATGGTGATGGAGGTAAGACATTAATACGAATACTGGCAAGACAACATGCAACATACAAACATCACAACATTGAAACTTTATAACAAATAGACAGCAATAACATTCTCTTGTCTGGAAACAAACATTAATACATTTTCAATAGTCTCTTTTCTAATATCTGAAATCTATAAATTAGGATGTGTTTTTAACTTTGAAAACACACCATAACTCTTCAGAATCATTAAAAATAACAAGCAACATGAATTTTTTGACACCTAACATGAAACAATGCCATAGAATCACAAGCAAATTACAGAAAGGATTAAAATATGGAATTCAATATGAAAGAGTCTTTACACAGCCTTCCCTATTTCCATTCAAGACTCCCTTTGGATAACATGACCATCACCTAGAGTACTTCTTTAACTTGATGCTAGGTTCACATATTTCTGATTGTCTATAAAATAAAAATTAAAGATAGCCTTAAACCAGCAAATTGTTCAAGATTGTTTGAATCTAATTAGATCTCTCAGCATTCACAATACATTTCAAGATTACTTTGACATACTTGTTCAAATTCACAAATACTGAGTAAAGTATTTAAACTGCAGAAGCACATACTTTTTTATCAAATACTTATAAAAGATTCTATCTTACAAATGGAAATTCACTAAAAAGGCAGTATCTATTACTCACAGAAGCATTTCATTGGAAATTCTTTTATCAATCACATTTCAAATTCATATTATACTGTTTTCTTGTAAAATCACAATATCATGCTAGATACTACCAATGTGACGCTTCCCAAAAACCCAAATAAAATTTCCTTTGTGTGTGGCTTGTCATTCACTATTTTGAAAATCAAAAGTTATAAATCTGTCATCTCAGCTTTTCTGTACAATGGCAATACTTTGTCCTGCTAGTTTTGAAAACCTACAAATCTAATGAACAATATTTAACTGTAAAATTTGCTCATCTTAGAGATATCATGCCATTACTCTAATGTTCTATCTGTAGCATGGTGAATATCACATTTAAACTATTGCCATGAGGGATGGCATGTATGTATAGCTTATTAACTGCAAGTTTTGTTTATTAATTGTGTTAACACATAGATGGCTTCCCAGGTGCTTAGTCAATAAGAAGTCAATTAATAGCCCTACTTATTTCCTCTGTTTACCCTTCTCTTTAACTTTCAGCAAAAAAATCCTATTGCTATTAGCATTCTTAACAACTCTGTAATTACCAAAATGCATATAATAATAATAACCACATGGTTAAATATAATTGTTTAGAAATAAAAAAATTCAAGGTGAGGATGTGTAAACCTACTAATTGACTCCTTTGTGGGTGAGCCCTTGTGGAAACATTTGCTTTAAAGAGACATTTCACAAAACAAAACTACAGTCAACCTTACATGTTCCTGGAAGCATTATGTTAATAAATATTACAAGATAAGAAAATAACTACCATTTTTATAACCTAATGGATGACACTGATGACTACTTTTCATGTGAGCACAGGAAAATATAAAATATAAAACTACCAGTTTTAGGCCTTCTACCATTTTTCTCTGTATGTTCCCTGACATAAATGGAATTTATGGTCTTTTAAATTATTAGTAATATCATCTATACATTGCAAATATCAGTCCCTCCATATCAAGTTCACTACTCAATGCAAGATTCAGTTTTAATTTTAATTCCATTTGTTACAATGGATATTCTTTGCTGTGACATGCTCTGTTTTATTTTGTTTCTAAATCTCCTGTGTGCAAGGAATGGCAGGGGTTACCATCCACTGGCAGCACACGGGATTGATCACAGGTCAGCAAGACTGCTAGACAAGCAAGCTACCGTTGCACCACAGAGCAACCAATGTGTGAGCCACCTGCTTTGACTCCTGAATCTGAAACATGCACCTCCTCCTCATAGTAGATGTGTCTCAGATACAAGAGTCAAAACTGTCAGTTCCCACAATGACATGCTGAGAGATAAACTAGGAAGTGGAAGGGACTATACTTAACAGTGCACGGATAGAAGAAATTTACCATCTTCTTTTTCTTAGATGAAAACCCAGTACACTGAGAACAGTTTCAAGCATGGTAAAAATTCCTTCTAGACCTAATCCAAGTAATGATTATTCTCTCTTCTTTTCAAATACATGTGTTTCATGAACTCTTTATATGTAACTTGAAGGCAATGGAAAGTATCACAAACATATAAGAATAACAATACTATATTCTCATTGACAAAATATATATTACAAAATCTGTATGTGCTATACAAGATAAAAGACAAAATGAGCTATAATATATAAGCAAATACATATCCCTTACAGACATTGTACAGTGAAAGGATAAAGCACCAATAAAAAACTTACAGAAGTTACATACACCTAATCTATCCTTTAATCACAGAACAATGAGTCTTTTATAGGGATTATATACATGATACTCCCACATACCTGGAAATAATGTATGTAGTGAATAGTGAATATAAATGGTGGATCACTCTATTCTGTCATACTTTACATATCTGTATAATTGATATACATTTCCCAGTTACTACAGCCCTTGGAAATTGCTACAACTTCCTACCACCATGCAAAGAAAAAAAAAAATCACACACTGGCAATCACAACATCCTCTCCAACCCAAATTATCAAAAACCATCTGGAATCTAGCTAGCTGACCAACTCCATAATCTCCAGTATACCTGTTCTTTTTACCTCTGATCCCCTTAGGGGACATTTGCTCCTTGGCCATTTCACTCACTCTGCTATGCCAATTACAGCACGGGCCTCCTGCATCATGAAGACAGCCTTTTCTAGTGCTGTTAGGAAATCATATGCAGAGGGCGAAGCATCAGGAGGAGCTGCAATGGAAACCTCGTCTTCGTCTTCTCCAGCCAGTGTATACTGAACTGTAACCCCTGTTACCTTGAAGTTGCCTGCTGAATCCTAGTGAATAAAAATGTATATATACATTATATTTATTCACATGCATACAAAGTCAGTATGAAAAAGAAATAACAATAACAATAACAATAAAAAGAAATGATAATAACAATTTTCTTCTGTCATGTTTTCCTCTAAAGTACAAAAACAATTGAAAACACCCACACAACCTCAAATACATATAAAAGAAATACCTTTACCTGGAATCTGTTGGCAACATGAAGTCCTGTTACCCTGTGCATTGGTATGGACAATGGTGTTAGGTTATCAACTTGTGATCCAGACAGTATCAAGTATCGGTGATCAGGAGACAATCGGCACTGCACCAAGCATGATTCTAGGTCAAACTGATCCTGTGCACTCTGACTTAAGATGGCTCCTGTAGAATTAGAAAGTAAGACTTCAGACGTAACCCTGCTATGTCATTATAGTAAATAACAAAGTAATTATCAAAAATATAAATTTTAAGAACTTTGTAAAAAACTCTTCCTGCTGCTAATACTACTACTGCTACTACGCATAAAATGTGCAAGTTTTACAGTGGCTATACCATGATAATACTCAAAATAACTTTATACTCAATCATATGTAGCAACAATCACTACACCTCAAACTAGAAAAGGTCAAATATTACCCACCCGTAATAAGTGTCTTCAGATCCTTGTTATAGAACTGGTTCTCTTTTGAGGTGGTCTCTGCACAGGGAGAACACATCCGCACTGGATCCAGGAAGCACATCCTAGGGAGGGCCAGTCGGGTCTCGCAACAGGTAGCACAGCAGACCCGCCCACATCTCCGACAGTGATGCTAGAAGGTTCTTAGATGACAGTTTAGTATGCCATTACAACATCTGTCCTATATGGAAGTACCTGAGTTTTACAAATGTACACCAGATTTATAATATCTATCACTGAACCATACCTTGTATGGATACTATTTCATATACCATATTGTTAAGATACAAAAAAATTAACGGAAAAGAAAATATAAGAAATGACAGAAAAAAGAATCTCACACACACATATGCACGCACGCACGCACGCACACACACTAACTCACACTGACTAACTGATGATGATGATAATTACAATAATAGCAATCATAAGAATAACAACAATAATAATGATAATATTCATAATAATAATAACAATAATAATAATAATGAAAAATTAAAGGAAGCAAAATGTACAAGATGCTACTGAAATTACATTACCAATATCAATAACAAGAAATAAATAATACAACTACGTATAAGAAATACACAAAGAGAAAGTACCAACAAAAAGATTTATGATTAAGAACCAGAAATAGCTATTACTACTAATAAAATAAAATACATAATTCATTACAAAAGATAAAAGATGCATACTATACATACCCTTCGTTTTAAAAAGTCAAACTTTTCCTTGCAGTCCATACAAGTCGGGCTCTGCAGAGGAAAAATTATGATGATATCCTTTAATTTGGATTCATTAAGACAGGGCAAAAATGATTAATCTAAACACAATATGCATTTCATATTAATATACAATACCAATATGCCTATGCTTTATTGGGAAGGGCTCAAAATACTATGAGAAAATACTTGAATTTCTTTGAAATCAGCACTAAATATTTACAGAACTGGAATGCCAAATAAATATTCACAATAGTGTAGGTCAATCTTTCTAATGTGATGCTGCAAAGCCTCATGTGCACAAACTAGTGGTGCATATTACATTTATCATTCAGTCTTCTGTATCTTGTTTTATTTATCTATCCTTAACATTATAAAAGTCATTTTCATTCACCTTTATCATTACTACTGACACCTTCATAACCACTATTTCACACAAATGTGTGTCATTTCCAGCATTATAAAAATCTGTAATGATGCCCTTCCTTCTGCAAACTAAGCTTATCATGACCACCACTTATATCTATAGTGAGGCATCAAACATATCTTCCTTCTTGTCTCTAACTCAGGGTAAGCTCACCAACTGTGATGCATTCCTCCAATTAAGATGCACTATGCATGAAAATACTGCTAAACAAAGCTATATAATCAAAACTGATTGAATGTCCTCTTACCAGAGACAAAAACATTAAGCACTAAAAGTTGCTGGCATCTATTTCCATTACTTTATAAACACTGGGATATAATGTAAATGCGGGTGAAGAAATCAACATATTCCTTAGCAAAACACCAAGATTCTTGACTTTACAAAATTGAAATTTATAGCATGTTATCAATCAGACTCCCTTCTCAATTTGGTTCAGATCTACAGGTATGGCCCTAAAAATAATATAAAAATCACAATTAAGATTCCACATTTAATGGGGAAAGGGTTGGGGGTTTTCTTGATTGGACAGAAAATTCAAATTCAAATAAATTAGAATGCAATTTCAAAAAAGATTATTGCGAGGGCGTACACAGCATATCTCCAATATCATGACAATGTTCTATCGTCATATGGTAAAAAGGTTGAAATCACATAAATATTCACACGATATCCATTTTAGGTGGAGATATGGCGTTGCCACTCAGTGTGCAGTGTGCATTACCTAATGGAAAGTTTGTTTAATAATCATAGGATGCACATCCATATTGGTTTATATGCACTGTGTCCTTACTTGACATTTCATGACAAAACATGTAGAATGTATGAATTCCTATCATATACAAGCAGTCTTCTATCTTTTACAGCTATTTGTTCAAGCTGATAAGTTTAATAGTCTATCTCAGGATAATGTCAAATGCAGGGAAAAAGAGAAAAAGGTCTGATATTGATAAAACAGAGGAGACATTCTTACCCTGATGAGTAGATACAGTATGTCATTAAGAACATGGAAACTTACATTTGCCATCTTTTAAACACAAACAATTCATCATTCCCATTTCAGTAAAAATACTTGTATTACAGCACCATACGTAAGTTATACTTCATGGTCTAGCTCTATTCCCAATTATAATCTGACATCTGGTAAGTACAAGCAGAAGCAAAGAAGCATAGTAAACCTGAGGCACAGATATCAAGAAAAGGAGTCAAAACCTGGACCCAAGACCCTGCTAACTGAAACTGAGGAACAAGTCCGTCTAAACTGTAAGTCAAACCCAGTTAAAAAGAGCTCATCCTGTGACTAAATCAAATGTGCTAAAAGCTGTAAATCACATTTTGAAGGATGAACAAGGGATAGGCATAGCATGAATATTCCCCCTTCTTTAAAAAGAAGCTATACAAAAAAATGTGGAAACATTTCCCACAGCCGATGTCCTGGACTCCTGAATCACTACCTTCATCAGTAAAAAACATAAGCATGTAAATGGTTATAATAGTTTTACATAGCCCTTGATTATTTTAAAGACATTTATGCCACTCATACTCTAGAAGACCCCAGGCAAAACTAATCCAATTATCTCCCAACGTCTCAGATTTGCAGTTTCACTCCTAAAAGAAATGAGCAAAAGCTTTTATGTTAAGCCAGGAATTGAAGAGATTTTGTCTCCAAATAGCAGAAGCTTTGGTTTTGGAGCCTCCAAAAGTTCTTTTCAGGCAGTTAACATACAAGATCCAGTTTTAAAACAATATTCCTTGCATTCTGAGAAATTACTTCACCTCAAAAGAAAAGGAAAAGAAACAGTAATCATAAGAAATATCCTGTAATAATTTTTCTTTAGTTTACCTTTTTGAAAGGTGAAATAATAGTATTTAATTTCGGAGGAAACTAATTAACCTTTGTCAACAAAAACATCATTAGAATTAATACCTCTGTGATTATCAATACAAAATCTCAAGAATTAGCAAAAAAATATGTATAGGTTCTGATTAAAGAGGTTTGCAATAAAATAGGATTTTTAGCATAATTTGGACACACTCATCATGTATATCAATATCTTACAACCAATTGAATATAAAAGTATAACTTCTACACAAATTAAACACCAACCATTACTTAATAGTTTCATGATAGGGCACTACCTAAAGAGAATGCAACATTAGTAAATAAAGAAAAACTAGCCTCAAAAATGTATATCAATTGGGGAGTTAACCCTTAGGGTACAGCTACATCACACAGTATATTTTTAGTTCTTAAAAAAAAAACATCACCACCACTCCTGTCATACTTGGTAATAGATAATGATTTTCTGTACGACACGTGACAATCTGTTTCGTTCTACATTTAGGGTTAAATCATCTTTATCAGGGATAGCACACACTGAAGTCATGTCCACTGTGATTTTAGTTTCTTCAGCTAATAATGCCAGGTAAAAAAGTTTGGCAAGTGCACATGATCACGGGGTTGTTGGTGTGCATCAACAGTTTCCAGTTTGCACCTGGCTCATACGATACTTTGTTTGCAAGCAACATTTTGCACCAAAAAGCTTGTATTTTGATATAATTTTTTAAAATATAAAAAAATTGAAGGCTTACCTTCACTTTAGGTGCAATTGCCTAAAAGTTTTACCATAGAAATACTGCTGCAACTATCGGAGAAAAACAAACTCTGTATATGATGGCGCGAGAATGGTCATGATACAATGCCACCCGCTACTTTGTCCACAACAGCCACGGAAAGAGGGTTAAGTCAGTGCTGCTGGGGATGGCATGCAAGTACATGCCATGTAGAGTCTAGCATCCCCTAACTCTGGTTAACATCTGATTAATAGAAGGATAAAGGAAAGTGAAGTGAAGTACTGTTTGATTATTCATTTTGTTGATTCCTCAAAACTAAAACCAACTGCTATCATTGTTGATACAAGAAACAAGAAAATATACAGCTGGGTATCTTACCGCTATTTATTCAGAACATTTCAGGACCCCAGGTTAAGAAACACTGCTCTAAATTCAGCATGATCTTATTACAATATACAAAATAACACTATATTTACATATATAACATGTTATACACTTCCAAACTTTTACTTCACAGCCGTTTAAAATGTAAACTAAGACTCAGGTAACAGAACGGGATTGTACGCATACAGGAAACTCCAGGTGTGATACAAATGCCTTCTACTGAACATTGGTATCAGTAGAAGGGAGAAAATGTGCAGCTGGTTGATGTAATAGGGTACTTTATGTCATCCTGATTTAATGTGAACATCCTAAAAGGATGATATCTGGTATGAACTGCTGTAGATCTGAAATTACTAGATGGTGACAATGCAATAAAAAAGCTTTCATACATGACATACTGTAGATTCTGCTATGAACACTGTTCAGACTTGATGATCTTTACAATACCATAAGCATATGATCAAGATTGAAAAGAGCAATATTTCAGTGCGGTTTGTTGTGATTTATCTTACCCTGACCATCATTTCTTTCCTTTGTGTATAATTTCTGAGGTGGAATTATACAGCTGCTGTAAAAAACAAAACAATACTGTACATTCAACATCTGGAGATACATAACAGTAACCATCTACAAAATAAGTTATATATATCCACAGTTTTAATTATTTTTTCCTCAGATAAAAGGAAACAAAGCATATAAACCCCATCCAAACCTTCGTCAACAATGAGTCAAACAGTGTTTCCTACGGAACCATATCTGATAACATTACTGTTCCATCCAGAAAACCTGTGCTTTCAAGGGAATGCTACTTTTTCCCATACAAGACACTGATATCTACATTAATATCATAATGCAACAGGATTTTTTTTTTACTAGAATTTGTTTTTGCTTTAGTTTGCTTTTCTGTCCTTGAGCAGTTTTTGGACTACTTATATATATAAAGACAACAACTTGGATCTTCAGACCAATCAGTACAACAGTCAACTTCAAAATGCCCAAACTTCTTGGCCAAATTAATTCTAACTATATACACCTTCCATATCAACATGAGCTAACTTTCATAGCACATAAAAATCTTCCAAACAAAAACTTTCAATTCAACACATAATTAGAAAACATTAAAATAAAAATAAACAAGAAAGAAAGGACGACTGTAGCTACCCTTCGGGTTCTGAACAGAAACATATATGGGTAAATAAATATAGGAGTAAACAAAACACATTTCAAAATGAGCTCATATGACTAATTCCAGATTGTTGTGTGATAGACTACACACACACACGCATACAAATACAAGCAAACCAGACAAATTACCTAACACTTTATTAACAATTAAAATGATACTGTAATGCTGGCACTGTGCCAACTCTGTGGTAATATCTGAGAGAAGTTAGAGCCCCGACCTTCTATTATAATCTACAAACAATCAAGCCATTTCACTAATCTATTATCATTCTTACGCATATGAATCTATGATGCCTTGTGAGAGCCAGTGGTCTAGACATCAGCATGATTGATAGATAGGGTATGCAGAACTGTAACGCTGAATAATTATCTGTTCAATTTCAAGCTCTACAAATGCAGTCTATTTTGATGTCATTCCTTCTCCACATCTGCATTACTTTTCCTATTCTGAAACTTCTCAAGTTACCTTTTTTGATAGAGGCCAAAATTCAAAAATTGGCAATTTAGGCGGCCTCAGGGCTCCAAGGCTCTAGCAAAAGCAACAAACTGCATTTGAATCGCACAAAAATTATGAGCGTGATGATGCACGGAAGGTAATGTAAACAAAGAACGGAGTTACGACATATTATACTTTGGCACCTTGCCAAAGTTTGGTATCTCTGTTATTTTCTCTAAATCTAATGATGTTATATATATATATATATATATATATATATATATATATATATATATATATATATATATATATAAATATGAAAATTATTTTGTGTACTTTGCGATGCAAAGACTACCAAGTCAATTGGAATGATTATTTTCAATAGGGAGGCTATTCTTCACTATGGTCACTGGGTGTTTATAATTTTCGAGGATGATCATATGTATGTAAACACATGCACATAAGGTTAAAAAATTAATCATCCTCATTTAGTAGGCCTAAATCGACTTTTATACCTAAAGGAATAAAATATAAACTGTTTTCTTTGATAATTGTCAATAGTATGAGATGGCAATGGAACACATGTGTAGAGTTGTTGATTAGCCATTTGCACCCATTATCTTTATTAAGAAGTGCAGAAAAACTTGCAGACACCTAAAGACTGTGCATACAATCAAGTTCAAAATTCCATCTAGTTTTTATTTCAGAGCCGGTATTACTATGTACTATCATCTTCAATATGAAATAATCGGTATCTTGCTTATATCTCCGAAGTTCAAAAACCCGACTTTTATGTACCCTTAGTATTGTATTGCCTTTAGCAGCATCTCGCTTATATCTCCGAAGTTCAAAAACTTTTATGTCCTTAGTATTGTATTGCTTTAGCAGCATCTCGCTATAACATCTAGTTTTTATTTCAGAGCCGGTATTACTATGTACTATCATCTTCAATATGAAATAATCGGTATCTTGCTTATATCTCCGAAGTTCAAAAATCCGACTTTTATGTACCCTTAGTATTGTATTGCCTTTAGCAGCACTAATGACCGATTTCAAATCATATCATATTTACCGATGCCGTAAAGTACCAATCGTTTAGCGCAGTCTAACGAAAATATTTTAATCCTTACTTATACAGCTATTTCCAAACATTAGTGCTTCGTACTCGGTATACATACAGATCACTTCGTAAACTACAAAATATTACCAGGGAGTCTTGATGGAAACATATTTCATGTGTAAAAGGACACAAAACTTATGTTTTTTTTTTAGATATACTTCACAAAATATTTCCTAATAAAGCACTGATATCACTTTTTTCTGATATTGGTATAAGTGTTCTTTGAACATTCACAAACTCATATCTATGTGCAATGTCATAATCAAATACCATATGCATGATTGCATCTAGCACAAAACCTAACAGTGATTCTCAAAGAACAGTTAAGGAATTCTTGAAAATCCTGGTTGGGGTAACGAGCATATGCAAAAAAAAATGTTATAACAAAAAATCCAAAATAATTTGTAACAAACATATTTTGTTTGTTGTTTTACATAAAAAATACAAGATGGCCATATATAATGCAGTAGATGGGAACAAATAGGAAAATACTCATTTTTATAAGTGAGTAGTAACACATGAACTAGTCGACACGTCACAGTAATGAGTTGAGCAGTTTGTTTACTCTTCGAGACCGCAGTGTAAACATGTAGAACAACTATGAAAAAATCCCTTTGCGCAAGAAGTTTAAATGCTTCTTGTTACCACAATATGTGTTGATTGCATCACGTAGAAGGGGAATATATATTTTTCTTAATGATATAGTGTGCGTAGATATCCTAAAGTCTTGCCAAATTCAAACTCATCTACCAATAATGTATGACAAACAATCAACCAATAAATGTCACAATAATAAACAGGTAAACTGCAGTCAAATAATGAAAAATAGTCGACCTATTCAAAGAAAAAATACTATATGCCCTTCAAAAACAATAATCCTTCTGTTAGAGGAATTGATACATAATCAACAATTCAAAAGAATCAATACATAGGAAGTACAAAACGATACTGCGTATTGCACTGAAATGAAGGTCAACATGTAACTTGTACAAAAACGAAATCATTTT